TACGGGTTCTGTTTTAACCATTGCCCGGATGAACACGTCGTTGACGACGGCAATGTAAAGCTATCAAAGGTATTTGACGTAGCGTGGGCGAAGACGCAATTTTACGCCTGTAAAGTGTTTCCCCGTGGAGCTGTCGCGAGATGACTAGGTTGGTCCTTCTCTGTGGACGGGACCAAATATTTTGTTGAGATCATTCCTTGAGACGCTTCGGCACGTGATAGGGAGCACAACCAACGTTTTTAGGTGCCTACGCCGGGGCCGGATGCGTTTGCAATTTTCGCCCCCTTTCGTTTACCAGCACTGTGGTTTACGACGGCCGTTCCTTGCGAAAGTGTCCGCTTACAAATGGCTACGCAGCCAGGCAGATATCTGAAGGATGAAACGAGGTCTGTGGGCTGACGTGGCGCTACGGGGAAAATGACGCGCGTCACTGCTGTGTGCGCGTGGGTGCCCCTTGTGTGCTTTGTGTGTCACCTCAGTCGGTCAACCCACGGCGCCTGGGTCTGTTCCGTGACCTCCTGCCAGCGGGCCTAACACCTCACGCGGCTTTCAAAGTGCTCCTAGCATGGCACAAGCGCCGTGGTGACGTCACCGCCACTTAGTTGTTGTTGTTGTGTCGTGGGCAGCGGTAGTGGTCATTGGCCTTGCCTAGGTCGACTCGGCCTTAAATGAGTCCCCGGTACGTTGCGTCAACAACGGCAAGTGGGGAGAAAGAGGAGGCTGGGCGTGGTGCTGGCCAGCCGCACCCTCGTGTGCCGAGTCGGCCTTAATAGGCGCTCGCTAACAGCACTCGCCCCAACTGTCTGTTGAAGGCTGCGTGGGGGATCTTTGTCTTTGTTATTTGTTTAGGATGATGCTGCTGTTTGTAGATGCCTGCCGAGGCAAACTGTATACGGAGTCATCCTGCTTCTCATGTTGACATCATGTGCAGATGCTGTTCGGTACGGCGTAGTAGGTTGAACAGCAGTGGCAGAAATACGTGAAATGATTTAAGAGAAAACATTTGTGGCGTTCTCTCAATAACTCCAATACGTCATTACGCACGAAATGTATTCCTTAACGTTTTTTTTTGTAAGTTTCTCTTATTAATTTTTTTCCGACCAAAGTAATTTGCCGTTTGCGCCGTTCGCAAAGCACAAAGGCGGCGGGTCACGGAGGCGCTATGTGTATGATTTGTAAGCTTGATTGGAATAATCTTTGTAACATTGCATCTCCCTTGTGTTGATAATCTATTCCTTCCTGATGAGCCGTTACAAGGGCAACTGGTTTCATTTGCTTGGTCATGATGAATGTGAAGTGCTTTCGAACTGCAGGCCATACCTTAGCATATACCGTCCGTCTCATTCATGTCAGTTATAATTAAGATGCTTACACTGTTGTTAATTGTTGAAGGTTTAATTATTGTTCCAATTATCGCGGTTAGCGCAATGCGTTACGACGCGCGCTGACCCGAGTTCGATTCCCGCTCACGACCAATAACAGTGGTCCTGGGCCTCCCCTAGGTCAACCCAGCTTTAAATGAGTATCCGGTGCAGTGTGTGTAAACATCAGCACTGGGGAGACAAAGGTGGATAAATGTAGGTTTGGCCACCCACCTAATGTGGCGTGCTGACCTTCATAGGTGCTCGCTAACTGCACTTGCCCCTTCAGTCTGTTAATCGCCATATAGGGGATCTTGCTCTGTATCCGAGGTCTCCCTTGAAGAGAACTACTGTTAGAGGTAGCCAAGGAGGCTTCGAGGACAGAGCGTCAAGTTGAATATATTAATTCTAGATTTGAAGCTTTTGTGACTGCAAGGATTCATACTCTTAGGTTTTTTCGGTAAAGTCACGTAGGTAAAAAATTTAAATTGCTAAAAGTAGAATAAAACAAATTAAAAAATTCACGACGTTTCGGAAGCAACACAAGCCTCCGCCTCCGTCTTCACCAATTACTGGACGACACAAATGTCAGTTTCACCGTCATTTGGCGAACATCCCTCCCGTATGCGGAGCGGGTGGGGAAGCGTCGCCCACTAATGTGTGCAACAGGGTCGCTCGAAGGGATCTCGGAGGTAGCTCTGTGATGCCCACTTCCGTGGACTGTTCTCTATGACACACAAAAGGCTTTTGGCTCTGCTGTGCGAGAGATCTGAATGTCCCGTGGCACGGTAATTGGCATCACAACGTGGATATAATTCAGAACATTTATGACAGAAGAATCTATTCAAACAACATTCGCATGCAATCCCTTTTTAAGTTTTAGTTATCATCTCTTAATTTTTCAGTAACAAAAAACCCTTGCAGCGGAAAGTTGCGACCCTTCACCTGTGCAAGCAATTTAAATCGCATCATCCCAAATGAAAGCACCTGGTGCAAAATGCTGCACTCGTGTGAAGTGTGTTGCAATCATCTCGATTGTCCACGCGACACAGTGACTTTAAAATAATATTGTCGCCGCTAGGAAGAAATACACACTTGTGCTGTGAAAGGCCTCATTATGAGCGTGTCATACGCCTCCACCTGTGGAGTTTGAGCGCGCGCCCAAGTCCTCTCTGGACAAAGGAGACGAAGACACACTCCCATGCACCGCCGTAAAGATCCCCCTCCGCACAGCGCGAACAAACTGTTGGGTTTCGATTTAAAGCTTTCGTGACTGCAGGGATTCATCTTCTTGGTTATTTCGGTAAAGTCACGTAGAATGGAAATAATAAAATAATAAAAATAAAACATAATAAAAAACGTCGTGAGAATTATTTTGTTATGTTTTATTTTTATTATTTTATTATTTCCATTCTACTTGACTTTACCGAAATAACCAAGAAGAAGACTGTTGGGTTGCAAGTGCTGTCAGTATTGAGTAGCGCCTAGCGAAGGGTGGCACAGCGCACGAGGGGGTGGGTGGCCAGCGCCGTGCCCGGCCGCCTTTGTCTCCCCAGTGGCAATGTTTTTTTTACACATAGCGCCAGCTATTCATTTGAGGCCGAGTCGGTTCAGTTTTTTCAGTTTCATTTATTAGGTATAACCCTGTGAGCCATGCGACTCTTGACTCGGGTGCAACCGCAACAAAACATAAACAAGAAACATCTTAAAGTGACTACACGCAACAGAAAAATCCTGGAAAAAACAGCAAAGTCTTCCAGAAAAAAACACGACCTAGGGTCGACCTAGGGTAGGCCCAGGGCAAATTCAGATAATCGTCACTGGTGTTGGCCGTGAGTGGGAATCGAACTCGGGTCCCTGGGTGCATAGTGCAGTGCGCTAACCACTATGCTTCCACTGTCCAAAATAAAAAGATCCCCCATATAGCCTTAACAGACTGTTGGGGCAAGTGCTGTTAGCGAGCGCCTATGAAGGCCTGTACAGTACACGAGGTAGTGGGTGGCCAGCACCACACCCGACCACCTTTGTCTCCCCAGTGGCGATGTTTACACACCGCACCAGGTACTCATTTAAGGCTGAGTCGGCTTAGAGGAGGCCCAGGACTGGTTCAGATAATCGTAACTGGTGTTGGCCGTGAGCGGGAATCGAAACTGGGTCGCCGGGTTCGTAGCGCAGCGCGCTAACCACTACACAACCGCTCCCCACACACACCACACACACCACACACAATCATTAAGGAATTGGAAAACCAATCTGAAGCACTAGCAGGGAGTGCTGCACTGAGCCTTGGCATCCAGTGAGGTTTTTTTCCCTTTCCCCTGGATAAATAAACATCTGCCTTCGTTAATATTTAATATGTATAAATAAACTGAGCCTGCCTATGACCTGTGCACCCATAATGCCCTCAATCTCGTCAGATCACGGAAGCTAAGCAGGTTTCAGCCTGGCCGGGGCTTGGAGCTTACACCGCCTGCGGGGGACACCACGTATCGTAAACCGTGAGCCGCGAGGTGGCCAGAGGATGGTGGTCGAGGAATAGATTCGTGAATCCATCTGTGTGGAGCTTTGAGTATTATGCCTCTATATGCGTAGGTTTTCTCCCAATACTCCTATCCCCCGCTCCCCTGCAAGCAATGCAAGATCCTCCGGGAATAAAAGTTGATGCTGGATATAAGCCCACCCCCTTGAGAGCAAGGCTCAGCCGTGCTGATATCCAAACTAGTGTGCTTCTATCAGAAGCTGCCCTTCGCCTTCCCCTCCACCATTGTAATGCAAGCACGTGTTGCTTACATGAGAACCATGGTTACATAGGGTGTGTTCTTATATTGAGCGTCTACTTTCAAGGACATTATTATGACAGAGGCAACTTGCCGAGGTGGCTAACATAGTGATCGAAGGCGTCGTGAAATATTGAATGTGTGCCATCGCAGAGACAGCTGCCACTGGGGGTGGCCCCTCTTGGCTAGACCACGGCATGGTTGACATGAGATGTGATGTGAAGTTTCCTTTGATCGAAGCGCCCCAAAAACTTGATTGAAACATTTGATCATCTCCCCCTCTGGGTCTCTGCTTCAGTCTTGTGGGTCTCTGTGCGAGTCACTCTATAAACTATTAAGCTATAAACATTTTTTTTATTTTACGAGGAAATACCCACTGAGCTACGTAGACCTTTTTCAGAAGCGACCTGGCCACAAATGATAGCTCAACGACAGTGGCTTATTGCGTGTCAATTTATCGCAGCAAAATGCTGTAAACTCTGGGAGTCTATAGGTATCCATGTAAATCTATACATTGCACAGGGAAGGCTGCCAATGGTAGCGAATGGAATAGTTGAGATCTGGTGTGATATCAGCTGTTTTGAGTTGCCTAAGCATTTTTAAGCCAGTGCACTTGACATTCGGTTGCCGAACGAATACGTTACAAGGTCGCACTCATCACACGCGGAGTGCTTGCCACAGATGAACCACAATACCTTGCTGACCTCATCAAGTCGCAAAGACCATCACGCGAACTCCGGTCATCCTCGCAGCGGCTATTGGCTGGCACAATCGGGGAATTCTCACCTCGGTCCTGTCCCCCCCCCTGGGTGGGTTCGTGCGAGCGATCGTATACGGAGACCTCTCTCTCTCTCGTCGACAGAGGGCACGGATGGAGTGAGGGCGGCTGAGATGAGGGGCCACGGTCGAGGAGAAGCACGGAGGGAGGCGCGCTCGCACTGGAGGTGAGTGACTCCGAGCTCCGCGCTCATTGGGTCAGGCTGCTGCTGATTTGCTGCCACTTTTTGTCTGGCTTTGACTGCAACACCACGGTGGCGGGGGGGGGGGGGGGGCACGGGAATGGGGTGGAGGATTTTTGGCGTTCGTGTTCGAGTGGCAGCAACTGATTTGTTCCAGCTCTGGTGGCATGCCGAAATTTATCCACGGTGTACCACCACTCAGTTTTGCTAGACCTTTCACTGACCGAACAATACAGGGCGTTTTAAAAAGATGGAACCGATTTGAAATCGCTATATCTCTGCAACCACGAACTGCCCGTGAATGAAACTCTTACCACTTGAAAAGGCGGGGCATAGAGTTTCAAACGATTACCGCTAGATGCCTATCCCAGCGCACAAACAGCCCCTAGCCTCAGTCATTCGCAAGACACACTGCCTCAACGTTGAATAGGTCGCACAGGACCCCAAGACTTGGCGCTACACTCTTGGCCCCCAAGATCGCCAGACATCACACCCCTTGTGGGGATACGTCAAAGATCGTGTATTTTTACCACCATTAGCGACAAATCTGGATGACCTCAAAAACAGAATCGCGGCAGCAGTGACTTCAGTGGAAGAAGACACTTTGAGAGGCGTTTGGGACGAATTCAACTATCGTCTCGATGTTGTCCGTACAGCAGGTGGAGGGCACATAGAGCATTTATAAAATGGTTCGTAAAACTAGATAACTCATTAAACCGTTTGTAACTTTTTGTGTGATTGTAACATGTTGCCATCGTGAAATATATTGCTTTGAAATTGGGTCCATTATTTCAAAAACCCTGTATATCCGGATTCTGCTGGAGGAAACGATGACAATGCTATCACTGGGTTTCCGTTAAGACCGGTGGTAGCGATCGTACGGTACCTGGCCCCATGACTCTGTTTCGTCCGGTTGGCGGCCAAATCTGGTCTCCCACTTTTGCAACGGCATTGTTATTGCGTTTGAATGAACGGATGTGTTTGACGTAATAATGATCATATTTAAATTGACTTGTATAAATATATATAATTCACGTGTCCTCTTGATTTTGCAAGCATTGCTCAATTTTACAGAACTTGATCAAGCAAAATATATTATTCAAAACGCAGCGATAGGCACAGAAAGGAAAGCCCTGTCTCTCTCCCTGTGTGCGCTTTTTCGTGCTCGAGAATGGCTCCTCATATCAAGCAGCCGATCAATCAATTCGGCTGTCAGTCCGACCGAGCGGTCAGAGCTTGTGACCGACAATCAGAAGACTCAACTCGGGGTTGCAGCTTGACCGCCGGTCTGGATCGATGCGGTTATCATTGCCCTTGTCAAAAAGTATCCCCCAGTGGCTGTTGTCTGGGGACGCTCGTAACCTGGCAAGGAAATGTGGATATTTCACCAAGGGCTGAAGACCCCCAATGGGGATTGAAGCCATCCCTGCCTGACGCTCGTTTAAGTTGTCGTAGCAGGTTATCAGGATCAGAATATGTATTTATACTGGAGTAAATTCGATGAGATAGAAAGGGCTTTTTCACAGATGTCCAGTCGTCCAGGTATATTGCTCCGTTTGCGTGCAACGTCAAATATGTGGCTTGATCATTAACGTGACCTCACACCCCCCCCCCCAAAATCAATCGTGAAAACACCACCACTCGTCGCTCGGGGGGTTTCGTATGGTGAGGTAAAGTGTGGGTACACCCATCTTTGCCAAGACGGTCTGGCCAGCCTTGAAGAGTGCTGCCAACATATTGTGCTGTCTTACAGAGGGCTCCAGAGAGCTCCCTCCAGCGGATGCCACCTCTGCCCAGCAGAGTCGCGAGCAAGCAATTGCAGGGCCCGCACCTTTACTTGAACAACAACAAAAAATATCTATATACTATTTAATTCGCCCAAGACACGGAGGTGTAATTCATCTCGTAACGGGCGCAAAACAAATAAACGGAGTGTGTATTTCAAACTGGATTAATGGCGCGGGAAAAGGGCACTCGCTCGCTCGCAGGCACCGTGAGGGGGATGCGCTTGAGCGCACGCCGCCGTTCATTAGCAGCGGAGCCTGCAGCAGCACCTGCGGTGGTGCTCAACACCTGGCCACGTTCTGGGGGTCAAAGGGAAATTAAAGGAAATGGAATGGCTCGTTGAAAATGAGTAGGTTCACACCGGCGGGCAGTGTTTTGTTGTTGTTGTTGTTTTTACATTTTCTCAGGGGGGGGGGGGGAGTGTGGAAGCTTTTGGCTAGAACCTTTGCGTTGGTCTATTTGCATTGAGCGTGGCCAACCACCCCCCCCCCCCCCCCCTCGTGTGCCACTGTGCCGGCCGTCATAGGTGCTGCTCGCTAACAGCACTTGCCCCAACTGTCTGTTAAGGCTATGTGGGGGAACTTCATCTTCATGGCGGCGCCACGGTTACCGCACCGTTCAGCGTTCCCTGCGCTCCCTGCGGTCCCGAGTTCAATTCCCGCTCACGACCAACAATAGTGGTGACTATTTACACTCGTCCTGGGCCTCCCCTAGGTTGACTCGGCCTTAAATGAGTTTCTGGTGCGGTGCGTAAACATCGCCAGAGGGGAGACAAATTGTGGCCGGGCGTCGTGTTTGGTGACACCACCCCACCGTTTGCCGTGCCGGCCTTCATAGGCGCTCGCTAACCGCACCCGCCCCAGCAGTCTGTTAAATACTACGCAGTACGTGGACTGTTATGTGTGTGTGTGTCCGGGTAAGCGATCGTTCAGTGGGCTTATGCACTGCACTACGATCGCTGCCCCGTGACTTCGATCCCCTATTCACCGAGAACATCATTGGCAATGGTGTCTGAACATGTCCTATGCCTTCCTTTGGTTTACTGAGTACCTGGTATGGTGTGCAAACATCAGTACCTGGGGAGACAAAGGCGGCCGGGTGTGGTGCTGGTGGCCACACCAGTCGGTACTGGGCCTCAGCAGCCTATAACGCCCGAGAGAGCATCTGTTCTTTGTCCGTGCCTGCTGCCACTCCAGGCTTCAGCTAATAATGAAGACATTGTGAAGTGTGTGACACATTGGAAATACTCGTCCCAAATACTCGGAATTCCCAACCCCGCGGTTCAAACAACAGCGTGAGCTCCGAGACTGACCGCTTTTCGCCATGCGCAGTGACGCAGAAACGCACTCGGCATATCTGAAATCGATCCCTCGCCTAGAGAAACTGAATCCAGATGTTAGCGACGTGTCGTGTTTTTCCGTTCTCCCCCATCCTCTCCCCACCTTTTTGGCCGCCGTGCATTTGTCCTTGTTGCCGCTTGTAGATCATCCACGCATTATCCCGACTTGGGCGCGATGGACAATAATACCGCGTGCACCGGTCGCCGACGGCCGCCGTACAATGCGGCGGAATTGAACTCTTTTGCTGGCGCCTCGAGAAGCAAATTCGAGGGCTTTCGTCTCGTTCACAGCGATGCTCTGGAGCGATTCGACGGGCCGAATGGAAATGTGCGCAGGCGGCGTTAGAATTACACGTTCGCAAAGAGAGGCTGCGTCTTCGGCGGCAAAACTTGAATTGGCGTCCCGGCGTGTCTGGATGCCATCAAGATGCTGCACGAAACAGTGGGGTGTGTTGATCGTCAGGGCGAAATGGAGGTGTGGATAGGTGTATATTTTGAAGAGGCAGGAGTGCCTACAAAGACAAAGATCCCACGTGTGGCCTTTAACAAGCTCTTGGGGCAAGTGCTGTTTGCGAGCACCTGTCAAGGCTGGGACAGCACACGAGGGGGGTCAGTTGGTCTACACCACGCCCTGGTCACCTTTGTCTCCCCTGTGCAGATGTCTACACACCGCACCAAGTACTCATTTGAGGCTGAGTCGACCAAGGGAACGCCGAGGCCCTGGTTCACATATTCGCCGCCGATATTGGCCGTGGGCAGGAATCGAACTCGGGTTACAACACCGTTCCACGTACACCGCACCAAATGCGGAGGGTTCGCCAATCGAACCCGTTCACACTGCTGGGTGAAAACAAAAACAAGCCAAAGGGAGAGCGAATGGGTGGAGGATAGGGTGACGATTTTGACCTTGGACTTGGCAAGGAACAAGGAGTTGACGGAGCAGATGGCCTAGTGGGAGGGTCATTCTGCCTGGGGTAGTCGAAGGGATGGAGTTAACTCCCACTGAGAGGTCGACTAGAGTCTTAGACAGGACGCCTTGGTTGATGGAGTGTCAAAGGCAGAGGTGGAGGGGGGCGTCGGTGGGAGATGAGAGGGATTTAGGTAGGCAGAGGTTGAGCCTACGAAGGAATCTTGAAGAGAATGAGGATTGAAGTCGAAGTTTATATCACGCATTATTTTTGTTCTGCACAGGAGTGGGTTTAGGGCAAAAAAAACCCGCAAAAAAGAACGAAATTTTGATAAACCGCTTACGTGGTGCTCGGCGGGTCACGCGTGCAAAAATACGAAAAGGAAAACGGCGTGGGGATGTTAAATAATGGATAGTTTAACTGGAAGCTCCCGGAGAATGCTCGCGCAAGGGCACGTCAAAACAGACAGCCGCCGACTGTTAATATTTTATGGCTCCTTGCGGCGATGGAGCTGCCCTTTTTTTTCCTTTCCTTCTCCCGCGCGCGTTCGTGTCCTCGCGTACACTTGGCGCAAACTTGAGCCACCATCCTCCGCCACGCAGAGACGTGTTGCTCGCCGCTGCCTCTGGGACGTTGTTGGGACTGACGCGCGGCGAATCCTTGCCGGCACGGCGAGTCACCGCCAACGCGGCGAGCCACTGCCGATGCGGCGAGCCACCGCCGGCGCGGCGAGTCCCGTCCGGTGCGGGAAGGCAGCATTTCAACGTCTCGTTCGGGCGCTAAAATAATACATTAAAAAAATAGATTGTGAATGCTTCGCTACCCCCTTGTTGAGATTCGACAAATTGTCACGGTCCACTATCACGATTTGTTTAAAATATAAAACAATCTAATCTATTTTTGCCTTTGTGGTGCATTTTGAGCCTCTAGTTTCTGCGAAGTTTACACGAATA